TATATATATAGATTGATTATCATGAATTTTGCGTCACAATTGTTTTATTGTTTACATTTTGCTGAACTTAACTGTTACTGTTTGCATTTTGTCTACTCCTAAATTGTTTTCATATTACAGCAATACAGCATCATAATTTAAATAATTGTTATGCAATATCTGAAATTGTGTATAATAAATTAAAATAATCTGTAATTTAACTAAGAGTAAACAAACTTGAGACAGATTCGACTGACAGATATGAGAAACCCTTCGCATCACGAGTGGCCACGAGAGAAATAAATGTAATAATATAGCTTATATGTAACTGAATAAACAGTAAAGAAATGTTCGTAGTATATATGTGTGCGATTGTGTATATAAACACACAAATACACAGTGACACTTATGTAACTTAAGAAAACAAATTCAACATGAATTCAGACGGAAATACCAATAAAAGTTATGCCTTTAATTTCCATTAAACACAAGAGTTATTCTGTAGCGCTCAATTTTACCGTGTGTTCCTGCAGTTGTAGGGCTGTCGACTCTCAAAGCTCCCAGTGTGCAGCTGCCAGAAAAGCATTGCATTACTATCTACGAATCCCGCGATCAATGCTGAAAAAACTAGTAAAAGCGACCAAGGCAGTCTCACATCGAGTCACGCCGTTGCTTTCTTGTTTATTAGCAGTGAACTTCATCCACCGAGACAGCGCACGCGATCGCCCCGCCGTGACTGCAATATGATGTTGAACACAGAGACAGAAACATAAACTACCTTTTAAAACTTCAGTGTCGTTCTTTTTTTCTTTTTTTTTTAACGAAATTCTTTATTTTATTCAGCAAGCGTGCATTACACGGATAAAAAAATGGCAGTAAAGGAATTTCTAATGTTACAAAAGATTTATATTGCAAATAAACACTGTTCTTTTCAACATTCTATTCATCAAAGAATCCCCAAAAAAGATAATGTATCAGTTTCCACTAAAGAAGCACAACTGTTTTCATCATTGATCATTTTCTTAAGGTGAGACACTGCAGGTGAATAGGGTAAAAAAAATAACTAATAGTTATTGCCTTACCCAGCTGATTGATTACATTGATAATTGCAAAAAAATTGTGTATTACAAGTTTTCTAAAATGTTAGGTTTAAATATGCAAATGATTAATTATTTCATGAAATAGCTATAAAAGAAACACTTAACAGTGTCTTTTGGATGTTTTCTTTCCACTAGTCTGAAAAAACCCTTTATGAAAAACCAAAAAGCCCAAAATCTATGAAAAAACTGTGTTTTTGCCTGCAGTGTCTCCCCTTAAGCACCTAATCATATTCTATATTAACATATATTCAATTATATATATATATATATATATATATACAGTATATATAGTAATTATATTCCCTAATATTATTGCTATTACTGTATTTTTGGTCAAATAAATGCAGCCTTGGTGAGCATAAGAGACTTCTTTCAAAGACATGAAAAAAATCTTGCAGACCCCAAAATTAATTCAGTAGTGTACTTTTTTTTATTTTTTAAGCAGCCCATATGTCCAAGTAGTACAAAAGGAAATAGTCAACGTTTTGGAACAACATGGAGGTGAGTAAATGACAAAATTTTCAATTTTGGGTCAATTATCCCTTTAAATCATAAGTCATTTGTTGTCTTTTTTTTCCAGGTACAGAGGTGGCATTTAGAAAAATAACAAGGAGACAGTTCATTACTGTACATTTTCTTTATTTTAATTTTATCGTTAGCACAGTTCTAGAAATGCAGCGGGAAGAAAGAGAACTTCCTCACGGTGGGAGAAAGACCGACACTACAGGAAAGAAGTGACAAGACAGTTGCGGCATTTAGATGCGTAAATACATTTCTACAAATTTCCCATCAGAGAAGAATGACACTATGCTACTTAAAAGAATCCACACGCCCTCAGGACATAACAAGATCTTGAATATTCCTTTGTTATGGTATATATATATATATAGATACATATTGCCTATGTGGTGTGGTATCACATGTGGCCTCACTGCGATGAGAATCTTGGGTGTGCAGGACAACTGACGCGTGGCCCATTTAGCCATGTACGCAACCAGATAAAAAGGTTCAGTTTTATTCATGACATGCATAAAGCCAAGCAAAGAATGCCTTATAATAGAGCAAGCTGGACCAACCGCTCGTCACTCCATAATTCAGAAAATGCTTAGAACGGACAGAAAACACTATATTTTCACAATTTTGGGGGGAATAAAATGTTGTATATAATCAAGCAAATTATATATGAACAAATTCCTCTGTAAAAACCTGCAGGATATAGACAGGAATACAAATGTAGTTTGGTGTGTGTAAGTGCTACTGAAGTGGAGATTTATGGCTCAGTGTAGGAGAAAAAACTCATTTTGAGAAAACGGTCTTTAAAAATATGCATTGTAATTGAAATCTATTGACACAAGATAAAGTGCTATAAAAGAAACACTTAACAGTGTCTTTTGGATGTTTTCTTTCCACTAGGAAAAAAATCTTGCAGACCCCAAAATTTGAACAGTAGTGTACTTTTTTTTATTTTTTAAGCAGCCCATATGTCCAAGTAGTACAAAAGGAAATAGTCAACGTTTTGGAACAACATGGAGGTGAGTAAATGACAAAATTTTCAATTTTGGGTCAATTATCCCTTTAAATCATAAGTCATTTGTTGTCTTTTTTTTCCAGGTACAGAGGTGGCATTTAGAAAAATAACAAGGAGACAGTTCATTACTGTACATTTTCTTTATTTTAATTTTATCGTTAGCACAGTTCTAGAAATGCAGCGGGAAGAAAGAGAACTTCCTCACGGTGGGAGAAAGACCGACACTACAGGAAAGAAGTGACAAGACAGTTGCGGCATTTAGATGCGTAAATACATTTCTACAAATTTCCCATCAGAGAAGAATGACACTATGCTACTTAAAAGAATCCACACGCCCTCAGGACATAACAAGATCTTGAATATTCCTTTGTTATGGTATATATATATATATAGATACATATTGCCTATGTGGTGTGGTATCACATGTGGCCTCACTGCGATGAGAATCTTGGGTGTGCAGGACAACTGACGCGTGGCCCATTTAGCCATGTACGCAACCAGATAAAAAGGTTCAGTTTTATTCATGACATGCATAAAGCCAAGCAAAGAATGCCTTATAATAGAGCAAGCTGGACCAACCGCTCACTGTTATGAAATGATATGACTGTTAATTATAATCGATAGTGAGCAATTAGGAACGTTAATGACACGTCGCTCAGACCAAGAAGTTTTGAACTTCATCTTAAAAATCTGAGTTTCTCAAAAGCTCTTTGATAAAAAGAAATGATTTCCATGTTGCACCAAATGACACCCACAACATCCCCCTCTTTCTGCTGGATTTCCACCCTCCCCATCTGACACACACACACACACACGCACGCACGCACGCACGCACGCGCACACACACGATCTTCTCATTGACAAGGCAACAAAACTACATCAGCAGTCCACCATCTGTGCCACAGATAGTGGTTTCTCAGACATGCACACGGAGTGACGGTGATCCTAGTTTGGAGGAAGAGTTTCAGTCCGACGCCGCTCCTCGCCGCATGTTCCACTGGAAGGTGTGTGGGGCCGGAGGAGGGTGTCCAGCAGTGTAGGTGCATGCGGCTTTGTGTACTTGTAGGCAAGCGTGTGTAGGTGTTTGTGTATGCATGTGAGTTAAAAATCCAGCAAGGGTCCCCCTGCACTAAGAGAGTGCTGTAGTACTGAATGATAACAGCACGGCTACAGGCCCTGCCCTCCCACATCTGAAGACTGGTCACTTCCGCCGGAGCCGCTCTGAGCTCGCTTTATATACAAATTCAACAGTTTCAGCTGGGAAAAGACAGAATGTACATGTTATAGATTATAAATGTTTTGAAATATAAAACCGACAGACAGCGAGATAATGAGTAAGGAGGAAAAGGGAAAGAGGTTTTGCAAGAGGAAACGGCTCACCTTGCTGCCAGACAGCTGGCTGAGATGAGGTTTCAGATCCTCTCCAATGACAGCATAGATGGCCACAAGGCAAAATACACACGCCTTTCGTACACTGCTCTCAGAGTTATCATAACCCTACAAAGGAGAGCAAAAGCCTTTACCATACACAGATGCTTAATATTAGGGTAAGTCAATGTATTTTGTTTGTTTCCTAAATATGTCCACTAGGGGGTGTCAAAGGGAGGTTAAATAGCACGTAGTGAAGTGAACTATCAAGGTTCTACAGCATCTAGATCTGTGTCCTGACATATCATTCAACTAAAGTATGGAAAGTCATTAACTGGAACATAAAAATATTTTTCTATATAATTAGGAATGGTGAATAATTGAAAAATTCTGGTTCTGAATTAAAAAATGTCAGATTCCTTAATGGTAATGTACACTGATTTTAAAGGGATAGTTCACCCAAAAATGAAAATTCTGTCACTATTATTTTTCACCATCATGTCATTCAAAACCTGTATGACTTTCTTTCTTTCTTTAACAGAACACAAAAGAAGGTATTCTGAAGAATGCTGGTAACCAACTAGTTTTGGTGACCACTGATTTCACTGGCATTCTCAAAATATTTTCTTTTATGTTCCACAGAAGAAAAGCAATAAATAATACAATTTTGGGTGAACTATCCCTTTTAGTCTCACAGTTGAAAGCTGTGTTTAAAAAAAAAAAAAAAAAAGGACTCTTCTGACCGATTAGTTCTAAATCACTAAAAGGAAACAAGAGTCGGACCACACTAGTTGCGTTGTACTTTTTGATTCAATAAAATGAACCAGTGCAAAAAATCATTTGTTCTGTAATCAGATTACACTGATTATGCTGTCTGTTTTGCACTATAGATTCAGTAGTGGCGTTGTGGTGCCACAGAGTAAGTATTTCAGGAAACTCCGTTTACTGACCCCAAACTTAGTTTATATAAAATACAGTATTTACCTGAATGAGCCCAGGGACGATCTCAGGGAGCATTTGAAGGAGACCCTCTTTGGGTAGCCGGTCAATGACTTTGGTGAGCATCTTGATGGCAGCCAGGTTGATGGGGTAATCTGCCGATTGGATGATGGGGCACAACACCTTAATACACTGATCGGGACTTATTGAGGTCGCCAACACAGACGCTGCCTCTTCTGCAGCCCGAACCACCTAATAAAGAGAAAAAAGGACATTTTGTGCTTAGGTTTAGATTTGTGCTTAGGTTTAGATTTGTGCTTAGGTTTAGGTTGTTGGTCTAAAGTGATTCATGATCTTTTGCATGTCAAGGACCCCAGACCTCTTTGTGTGGATCTTTATGTGCTTCCAGGGTCTTCATAATGGTGAGTTCAGCATAGTTTTTAAAGCGCCACGGCTGCCTGTTTAGGATCTCCTTCAACACCCGCAGTGCTAATGCCCGAATGACATGCTGAGAGAAAAAAAAGATCAGCAAGTAAATAAGATGCATCTTCATGCCTCATATTAGAGAGTGTTTACAGCAGTGAGTGTATGTTTTCATGCACCTCTCCATCCCCAAGTGTTTCTAGGAGCAGCAGGAGGATGGTTTTGAAGTGCTCGTCCCAAACATGCAGTTGCGTTTCTCTAATCAGCCGCATTAGCTCACACAGCGCAGCTTTCCTCTCTTCCACCCGCTCGCTGTGATTCGAGAGCTCCTTTAGGAGCTCAGCAACCACCTCAGATTGGTCCACACCACTGTCTGTAACACCACCAGCAGAAAGGAAGTCAGACCCACACACGTGCTTACATGTACACACTTCACAAAGCAGCTACAAATAGCTATGGGTGTGCATTACCATCAGTGAAGGACTCAGCATCTTGGTCTGCATCTTTCAGGCTTTTATTAAAAGGGGAGGAGCTGAAGGAGTCAGAGTAGCTGACTGGCTGGTATTCCCTCGTTGGGCGGGGACTCGAGGAGAGGAGCGGCATAGTATTTAGCAGAGAGGTCTTGTTATCCAGCGCCGTCCGACCAGAGTCTGTGGGTTGATCACCACCCTGCACAGAGACACATTCATGACACAAATTCCACACATCAGTGCTACAGTCTTATTACACGGCTCTCTGGAATACTTGATTCTAATAGGTCAATCTCAATGAAAGTTCAAAAATGGTTTTATATAATGAGTGCTTAACTGTGATTTCATATCACTCTGTGATCTCTCTCTTTTTATACCAACACAAGTTGGTACAGTATATCAAACTGGCAGTGTTATATTGGGATTAATTATATACAATTCAAGTATTTCTTAATATTTTGAAATAGCTTTTATAAAAAAAAATCCATGACTATATAATAACAATAATAACAACAACAACAACAATAATACAAATTTTATTAGTATTTAAATTATATAAATTAAACCAATCAAAAATAAATTACTCTTGCAATAATACTATAATACTAAAAATTATATAATTTAGTAGTATTCTCGTCTTTTACAAGAAAACGCTTCCCCGCAAAAGACGAGTTTTTACAGTTTTCCGTGTTTTCACTGTTATACACTCGGGGGCGTTATTATGCATCTTCTGAACGAGTACAAAACCTCCCGAACAAAAACACACGTGAACAGGACGGAGAAACTAGCGATCTCTTATGTAAACAGATGCACATGAAAAATAATGCGATCATCAGCAATAGACAGCATATAAATGAAAACTGCATAATGTTACAGAGTAAAATGTTGATCCAGGAAGTGGTATATGTCTGTGCAAGCTTTGGAGGTGTTGATGGAAGCGATTTACTGGATTTATGTTTTGATAATCGTACTGATTATTATCCAGATGTAGTTTTTCATAAAAAAATTTTTTATTTTCTCACCTTTTTGCTCAAAATTATGCATTTTTTATGAAACCTACCTATATTCAAATGTTGAATGCTTTAAGCTAGTATAAAACAGATTTTTTTTGTTTGTTTAAAAGTAGAGGCTCTGATCTTTATTTTGGCGTAGTGCATATTCAAATATTCATACAGAAAAATATACTGGAGGCCATCAAAT